TTCTTTTGCTTTCCTGACTCATCTTTCTGGGCGGCTAACCTCATAATCTTGAAAAATGGCAGACATTTATCTGCTGACTTCGATATGAACCGATGCAGAGCTGCCACCCTCCCAATCAACCTTTGTATATCCTTCACTGATTTCGGCGGTTCCATCTCGGCAATTGCTCTGATCTTCTCTGGATTGACCTCAATTCCCCTTCGGGACACCATGAAACCTAGAAATTTTCCAGACTCCACTCGAAAGATGCATTTGGCTGGGTTTAACCGCATCCTATTCTTTCTAAGGTTGTTAAAGGTTTCGTCGAGGTCGGCGAGATGGTCTTCTGCTTTTAAGCTCTTTACCACAATGTCGTCGACATATACCTCCAGGTTCTTGCCAATCTGGGCGTGGAAGACAATGGTTACCATTTTTTGATAAGTAGCACCTGCATTCTTCAAGCCAAACGGCATCATGACGTAACAATAAATTTCATCGCCAGCATAGAACGCGGTTTTCTCTTCGTCTTCTGGAGCCATTGGCACCTGGTGATACCCCGAATATGCGTCCAAGAGGCTTAACCTTTCATTGCCTGAAGCCGCTTCAACTAGTTTGTCAATGCTCGGCATTGGATAGCAATCCTTAGGGCAGGCGTTGTTAAGGTTTGTGTAATCAATACACATTCGCCATTTGCCATTTGCCATTTGCCTTCTTCACCAGGACTGGGTTAGCCACCCATTCACAGTAATCGACTTTTCTGACAAAACCAGCCTGCAGGAGCTTCGTTACCTCTTCTTTAATAGCCTGAAGCCTCTCACCCCCGAAGAGACGCCGCTTCTGGGCCACTGGTTTCTTCAATGGATTGGTGCTGAACTTATGTTGAGAGACTGAAGTTGGAATTCCTGGCATATCTGCCGAAGTCCATGCGAATACATCATTATTAGCTCGAAGAAAAGCTATGAGCTCTGCCCTTTCCTCTGGGTTCAATCTAGTTCCGATCTACGTCTTTCGGCTCGGATCTCTGTCATCAATAAGTACTTCTTCAACATCTTCGACCGAAGCAGCTCTGGTATCATTTTCCGGTCGATTATCTACGATCTCAACACCCATAACTTGCTGATTATCAGAAATTTGCTGCGGAATGGCTTCAGGTGTCTGAGTTTTGCCCTTCATGGGTTGTGTTACTGAGGTGATATAACAATGCCTGGCCACCTCCTGGTTTCCTCGCAGTGTTGCTATTCCCATGGGAGTTGGGAACTTCATACAGAGGTGAGACTGGGAAACCACAGCTCGGATTTCAGTCAGTGTGGGTCGGCCAATAACAATGTTGAAGGAGGATACCATCTTGACTACAAGGAACCGGACCGACGGGGTCACATAGGTTCTACCCCTCTCAAAAGCCACATGGAGGGTAAGAACTCCTTCTACCGGAACAGGTTGATTATTAAAATCATAGATAGGACCATCATACTTCTGCAACAATGCTGGATCTAGTCCTAGACTCTCAAAACAGTGGAAGTACATGATGTCTGGTGCACTCCCGGTGTCAACAAGGACACGTTGTACTTCACAGTTGTTAATCATAACAGAAGTGACCAAAGGATCATTGTGAGGTGTAACAACTGTATC